ATCCCCATTTTACAGATGGGAAACTGAGGCACAGAACTACAAATAGTTTCAGTCCAGTAGTCTTTCCATTAGGCCACATGGTTGCTACGGGATTCCTCAGTGCTCCTGCCCCCTCATGGACATTTTGTTCCAGTGAAATGGGAATAATGGTCAGGTTTTGAAATGCTTACAATGTGTAGTTGCTAAGAGAACCAGTGAGAGAAATCTCTGGTCTATGTCTCAAAACCTTGTCAATGTTATTACATGGTTGTTACAATAACTTTAAGGGTGTGAGAGAATCCTGGTGTGTCTCTCTTCTCCATCCTCTGCCACACCACTTCCTGCAACATGTAGCTCCCCTGCCAACATTTCCAGTTCTCTCTCCCCTTCCCATCCCATTGAGTCATTAGTTGTCACTATAGAAACCATTAACATGTAAAAAAGTTGCTCCTTGCTGTCTCCTGCCCTATGCTACTGTCTGTTAGGTTTGCCAACTTTCTAATTGCACAAAACCAAACACCCTTGCCCCTGCCCCGCCCCTTCTCCGAAGCCCCATGCCCACTCACTCCATCCCCCTCCCTCCGTCGCTCATTCTCCCCCACTCTTGCTCACTTTCACTGGGCTGGGGCAGAGGGTTGGGGTGTGTGTGGGGGGGTGAGGGCTCTGGCTGGGAGTGCAGGCTCTGGGGTGGGGCCAGGGATGAGGGATTTGGGGTGAAGGAGTGCGGGAGGGGGTATGGGCTCTGGGAGGGAGTTTGGGTATGGGAAGGGGCTCAGGGCTGGGGCAGGCGGTTGGGGTGCAGGAGGGGTTCAGGGTGTGAGCTCTGACCGGGCGGCGCTTACCTCAGGCGGCTCCCTGTCAGTGGTGCAGCGGGACTAAGGCAGGCTCCCTGCTTGCCCTTGCTCCATGCGGCTCCCAGGAGCGGCTGGCATGTCTAGCTCCTAGGTGGAGGGGACGGGGGCTCTGCGCACTGCCTATGCCTGCAGGCACCACCCCCGCAGCTCCCACTGGCCATAGTTCCTGGACAATGAGAGCTGCGGTGCCAGCGCTCGGGGTGGGGGCAGTGCATGGAGACCCCCTGGCTGACCCTATGCCTAGGAACCGGACATGCCAGCCACTTCCAGGAGCCGTGCGGCGCCAGGGCAGTCAGGGACCCTGCCTTAGCCCCGCTGCGCCACTGACCGACTTTTAGCAGCCTATTAAAATCTCTCGAATTGCTTACAGTACTCACCGGGAGATCAATGCCGATTCCGGTAGACTCCCACCAGTCCGGGAGAGTTGGCAACCCTACTGTGTGTACACATCACAGGTAGCAGTTTACTTCAAAGCTACAGGCTACCTTGGTTACATGATCTGAGATGCACACGGGGCTGGGCTCCTCACTCCTGCTACCCACCCTCAGCTGGGAATCCTGTCCCTGCTTCAGCTTGCTTCCCCAGCCATGCCCCAGGTCCATCCAGTCTGCCCCTCTCCCACACACTGGCCAGATCCCAGGACCAATCCCCAGTGGGGTGATGTGTATCTTACCTATTCATTTTCTGGATTTCAGATATTTAAATTTCAGTCCCCCCACTCCAGATCGCAGCTCACATGGAGGGGCTTAGACACCCCAAGAGAAGCCAGATCCCCCACATCTCAGAACACATAATAGGCAGGGAGAGGGGCTCAGACCCCTGCAGAGGGGAGAATTCAGAACTGGCAGTAGTCTCCTCACCAGTCATAAACCCCCAACTTCCTCTGCTACCCCTCATATTCTCCTCCCCCGCACCTGAACCTCCCAACCCCTCTTCTCTCCCCTAATATCCATTTCCATTTAGGGCCCCATAATACACCCATCCCCCACTGCAGATACAAACCCCTCTTCATTCCTCCCCTCCAATGAGAATTCACATGTGCAATTTCTTTTCAAAAATAGTTTCAGCACCTTCTGAATATTCTGTTATACTCAGATGATGGTTTCTTGGGGCGTGGGGGAGTTTAACTAAAAAAAACCTTGTCAAAGGCAGATTTTCCCCAAATGCTTACAGTTCATTCTCAGATTTCTGCCCAGATTTCTTAAAAGTTGCATGCTCAAAGAGTTGAGCAGTAGCCCATTCATCTCGATGAGATGTTCTCAGATGAAAGGCTACTCAATGTGGATGAATACAGCCTAAAACAATAGCCCTGAAATGTGTGAACTGATCTATTCATATCAGCGGGTGTTCCCTTCCCCTCTCCCCAGGGCAGGAGGAGAATTTCTGATGTGTGTCAAGCATACCCCTTCGCAGATCCTATTCCAATATCAGCCACTTGTTCTTGGTGCATGCTGCAAGCATACCTGTTCTAAGCTCCCTCCACAGAAGGGCGGGGTCCCCCACATCCTGTCACACACTTTGAACAGGGACTATGGTTCAGACACCAACAGGGGGAAGGGACTACAAGTCCACATGGGGGTGGGGAGAGAAGGAAACTCAGATCCCCAGATCCTGCCATACAGAGAAAGGGAAAATATGAGGCTGATGAGTGCTCCTGGGCTTCTTCCCCTGCTTTCCTGCAACTCCCATCTATCTCTTTCCCAGTGTCCCTCTCCATCACCTAAGTCCCCCAAACCCTCTCACCTCCACTACCTCCCATCCCCATTTATCCCCCTCCCCTTGCTGCATCCCCAAACTCCTCTCATTTCTATTTTCCCCACTCCTCCACTCCTTCAGATACCTCTTCCCTGCCAGTGAGCATTTACTTTAAAAAATAATAATCATTTTTTAAAAATCCTGACAGACAGATTTTAGTAATAAGCCTCTCCCCCTTTTCCAGATTTCTACCCCAGGTAGGGCTCAAACTGACTCTAGGTGGTGGGTCAGATTCAAAGAACCACTACTTTTCCCCTTGAGCTAACCAACTGGCATAAAACTTTGTTGGCTAACAATCCTGTTAATGCCTCTGTTTGCACATGTTCAGTGAACTCTATTAGGAGTGAAAATAAGCACACGCGGCTTGCAGGAAGCCTAACTGCAGAAGCACATCTTTTTCAAATAATGGTTTCAGCTGATTTCCCACAAAAGGCTGGTTGGTGTCATGCACTCTGTTGGGATAACCTTGAGCGTTTGAGACCCTGGTCCAATAGTCTGAGCCCTGGATTGACCTTTATGTGTGAGCTAAAAAGGTTGTCAGAATCTCTGAACTTTAAGAAAAGCTGTTTTTATTTTCCAGGGGCTTTAGCTCAGGAACCCCTTGTTCAAATGTCCTCAAATTTGGACCACTAACAGAACCCACGCTCCCATTCGGCATATCAAAACTCAAGAGTCAAGCTTTAAACAAAAAGCTCATCTTAACCTTAAGTATAACAAGGCTGTTGCTCTGCTGCTAAAATAAGAGGTTAAAGGAGTTTGAAAATTGTGTGAAATAGCTTAGCTAGTGCAGTTACATTGCTCCATGGCTTGGTGTTCATCATTAAAAACAACAACACAAAATGGATTTCCCATTACCATTCTTTCCCACAGAACAGCCATCATGCTGTGTGGATAGGACCACTTAATTGATAATGAAAAAGTCTCTTGGCAGTGACTTACGTTTCCTATACTAACCCAGAGCAAATAAAACTAAATAGCCAGACCTACAGTAGCTCCAAATTTATACCCCCATTTATTATTCAGGTGAGTAAAGGTTAGGAGATCATTAAAATATGCCTGGCATTCAAAACACTAGTACTGTATTTCCTAGTGCACATACTGTTCTGCATGGGAAAAATTTGCAATTTGTACTTGAATATTATTTAAAATTGTATATGTCTTACTTACTGAATTTTAGTCACATTGTTGAGATGAGGGGCCAACCTAATGAACAAAAGAATCTAATAACCTATAGACATTTAAGACAGACATGGTATTGCTACCTCACTATTTTTTTAAAACTCAGTCTCACACCATAACCTTTCAACAGAAAATTTTGTTAAATCCAGATCAAGGTCATTTTAGATGGCCTTTAATCTAGAGATTTAAGAATGATCAGATATTGTAAAGACTTCAGGAGGTGCACTGGCTGGATAAGCTACACTTTATTTTATTTTATTTTCCAGGAACAAAAGTGAATTGTATTTGGAAGGAATCTACCACTGTGTTTAAACAGAATACTAATAATGAAATATATCATTTTTTATTAATCCTTTTGTTATGAGTGTAATGCCTTAGGTGGTAGATAAGGTATATCCGTCACAGGAAAATGAGACTTGTCTATGTTACACACAGACTTTTTTGTTGTTGTTCTTTCTTTGTCATTACAATATAGACGTGTCAAATATGCTCAAACTACCAATCCTTGTACAAGTGATATTTCAGTTTCTGTTCATTCTAAAGACTGCTTTCTTTTCCTGTTGTTTTTTACATGTTGCTGGTAAAGGAGACTTCATGCTGCAGAGGCTTTATACTGCAGTGCTGAATATGAAGTCCAGCTTCAAAGCCTGAATTCTTGTAAACACATGCAAATATCTGCATGGCAACCAGCAGACCTCATGAGTTATAACTGAATAGCTGTGTACTGTCTATATATGCATAGTAAGCTAATATTTTCGATACATATGCTTTCAGTTTTCAGTACCAACCCAAAAGAAGGGATTTACTGCTGAATGGATATACTGTGATCCAAAACTCTCCCTCCCCAACCACTTGTGTGATTTAAGCACATTTTCCCTTGGTTTCAGAATAGACTCAGCAGTTTCTTTTTTGCGATTGATAGAAATTAATTATTATTATTTTCATCTATGAGGCAGGGACATTAGTCTATGACTGTAGAGAATCATTCAAATTTATGTCATTGTGTAAACAATAAATAACAAATAACACAACTAATAATAGCTCAATAGAGATTTGTTTTCACTTGTCTGATTTGTTTACAACTAGACATCTCAAAGACTGGCTTCTTTCCACTCTTGTTGATCCATAGCTCGTTATTATTCTATCAAAATAGCCTTTATAGCACAGTATACGTTCTATCTCATACTGGCACTTTTATGCTTTTTTATTAACTTAATGGAGATGTTAACTTACCTGACAAGCAAAAGCTATTGGATCAGCCACTTTTTTAAATATGCGTTCAATCTCCTCTACTGCTGTGTAGTATTCAATCTGTGTCACGGCCTTAATGACTCCCCCACAGTAGACATTTACATTTACAGGGCCAGCAGGAAAATCTTATAAAACACAAACAAAAACGGCAGCTGAAAATATTTTATAATGCCAGACTGGAGGTCTCAGGGAGTAGGTAAAAGAACAGAGAAATATCACAAACACCACATAAAAAGTAACAAATAAGATTTTCATTTCACAGATGTTTCAATGCAATAATTTTTAAACCAAGTCCTTCAGTTTAACACAAAAATGCAACAAAAACACATATCTGTAAATTCTTATAAAATATAGCTATGTATTGTTTCAAATTAGAAGCTCGATGAAAACAGAATGCTTCACATTTCAACCTTCCCTTTGATGGATTGATACTCTATAATCAGCTGCCTTCTGCCTACAGATTAAGTAAAAGTTCAGTCATTTATTACAAGTTACAGATTTACTATTCATCTTTTGAAACGTTTTTCTTAATTGCAGACAAGCCTCTCAGAACTGAGTTTTGTAGAAATTACAGTTTAATTACTTCCATTCCAGTTGTTTATCTACTGAAAGCTGAGGAAGGAGGTGTTTGTATAGTCTGTTACTTTAGAACAACTTGCTCTGTGTATGCAGCATGACCCCTCTTTATGAGTATGTTTTATAATTCATTAGTATTCATTGTGCCGTGAGTCCTGCTGACCCTACCAACGGCAGAACTAAAATCCTAGCTCTCCTCACAAAAGAATTAAAAATGGACAAACTTGAAGACAGAGAAGAAATGGAGAGTCAAAGAAACTCCGATTAATAGAAATCAGTATCTCAATTCACTTAAATGATAACAAGCACAAACTCATTTTACTTTCCTTTGTTAAAATGAAATCAGCTGGATCCTTGGTCCAAATGGGCACTCCTGTACTTTAGTTATTCTAGGTTTTTGCCGGGGGGAGGGAGGGGGACAAATAACAAAGAAGCTAAATTGAACAATGATGGGGGGAAACCAGTGCTTCTGTTGGAATGCCAAACACTTTTTATTTAAAAGCTCCAATGGAACAAAAAACTAACCTTGGTTTGGGACAAAAAGAAACTGAACTTATTAGTTATGCTTTGTATTTTGTGTTTATTAATCTATACCACTTACGGCTATCTGCCCTGGCCCAATAATTTCCCCAGAAGATATGCCTGGAGGAGCCCCCACAATACAGTCAATGGGAATTTCAGTTTGTCTTTTCTGAAAGATGCCTCATCACCAAGATCTTCCTCTGGCCAACCATAGACATTTCAGATTACCACCTACCTCCCCATTGAGCCATCCTGGTAATGAATAACTCTCAAGCATATGGATAATCAGGCAACTTGCAACCTCACCTCTGAGTGCCTCCATACTTGAATGGACTTCATAGAGAGGTGGACCCCAGGAGCTCTTGTTCTAATCCCAGCTGTCACTGACTTGCCTGTTTTCCTGGTCAAATCACAACTTCCTTGCCTCAGTTCCCCCTCTGTAACATGGGGATAATACTACTCATCTAACCTCAGAATAGTGTCTTAAGGATCAATTAGTGTCCATATAGCCCTTTGAATGCACCATAGAAATGTTAAGTATAACTATTACTATCAAAGCTACCTATGATCCCCAGTGAGAGGGAGCCAGTGGTGGCTCCTTTAAGGGAAGAGGAATGAGGTCAGTGATTGTGATCAACTTCTTCCCTGCAAAGAGAGATGCAGCCTCCCACAGGAGATGATCTGAGAACACTAATACAAGAAAGAGCTGCTGCTCCCATGGGAGTGAAGAGAAGCTGATGTACACTTCTGTCACCCACAGATCACATATGCCTAAGAGGGAACAATGGGATTTGCTAGTGCTTAGCATCCCCGAAAAATTAAGCCACTTAAGCCTTGTCTACACTACACAGTTTTGGCGAGAAAAGTCAGCTTTCATCGACAAAACAAAGATGCCAAAAATATGGATTTTAGGGCCTAATTTCAGGCGACCAAGTTTGAAAACTGTAGCTTAAGTGTTTTCCTCCTAAATAATGTGGTATTACCATGGTTTTTAAAAATAAAATATTATATACTACCCTTTGGGAATTCACAACATGCTACAGAGAGGCAAAATGAATCCTGAACTCTTAGCTGAATATTTCCATCACACCTCTAGTCCAATAACTGTGAGGGAGGTATGGCCATTCCCTCTGCATTCTGAAGCTCATACAATGAAAAATGTTGTTGTATTGTTTATCGTGCTCCAGGCAAAATAAGAAAATAGAATAGCTAATATTATGGATGAAGTGATTGACAAAACCCAGAGAAACCAAGGGGGACTGAGTAATATAGAGAAACGGGATGGATATGAAATCACAGCAAAGAAAGGAAATGTTCTCAGATGTCAGTAAGAATTATAGACAGGCATATGGGCAAAAAGAAAAAACAACTTCGCTGAATAAAATAAGAGACAAAACATCTTGTTGAACCTAATGCAGTAATAAGAATATTAGCTTTGCATTTTATAGCAGGAATTTATTAAGAATGTTAATCTGTGACTAATCAATGACATTTTAAAGCCTGCCACCTGCCACTTAACCACACAAAAACAACCCAATAAAATCCAGTTTCCCATAAATCACAAGCCCTTGTGTTGGTGTATTAATAAAAAGAATAATGCTCTGTATGCAAAACTCATACACAGGAAACACTTACAAAATAATATTAGAATCTAATGGGAAGTGAAAATACTTATTGTAAGACAAGTGAAGAGAGTCCAGGACCAAAATTTTCTATTTATTTAAAGCTACAGCAATGTTCTCTTACCTAAAGCTTTCATGCATCTGACCTTCTGATTCCAAAAGGCTGGCTGTGTCCTAATTCGTTGATTGTCTGTTATGAATTCAATTTCTACAGTTTCAGTTATTTCATCTCTCAAAAGAATGAATATTTCACCAGGGTTCTATAAAGTTAGAAATATGCTCCCATTAGCCTTTCACCAAATTATACTGAAACCATAAAATGTAAATCATATGCTTTAATGTAAGTTGCAAGAAAAGTTCTTTTACCAATAGCTTTATATCCTGAAATATTGTTATATAACAGCTGTAATGCTATTTCATTAAGTTATCCTTTATGTTTCTCTAAGCAAAAAATTGACAGGATTACTGTAATGGTTTGAACTCTGTTTACTAAAACCATATATAATGAAATTCTTTTCACTGTGAGGCTAAGATCATATATTCACTTCCAGTACACAAAGGGTGAAATTCCCCTCATTCAGGGGACCCCTACACTACTTAACACACACTTAAACCCTCAGAATTGGATTCATGGGTTAGGAACTTAAGTGGTACAATGGTCTTCTACAGACCTCTGAGCAAGGGTGAATTTCAACATAGAGAACATTAGTGAGCTACAGTACATGATGGGCCAAATTCAAAGGTGACCTAGAGATGGTGTAAGCTGCATCTGAGAGGCGGTGTAAAACTGCATCTCAGTTTTAGGGGTAAACTGGTGCATTTTAAATACTAAAAGCAGAATTATAGTAAGGCAAGGAGCTAACAAGAAGGTACAAGATAAAACAAGCTGACTACTTTATCTTACGCCTTCCTGCACCCGCCCCTGAGTTGTTCTCCATGCACTGTTCAACCTTCTCTGTATGCAAGTGCACTAGTTTATACTCAGTCATGCTGACTCCGACTGTCATACTGGTTTGTAATGTTGCACTGTTCAACACCTTTAAACTTGGCCCACTGATTTGTGGCAAATCTATATATTTTCACTGAGAAAATATACACACATGCTAATGTTCTTTGAAGAACAGAACAAGAGTCAGAACAATCATTCACTATGAACAATTCACTGAGGTATATTTGCCACCCTTCAGATCAGCTAAAACTGAACTAAATCTCACCCTTAATCTCTTTATTAGTCCTTCAAAACAAAATGTATACCATTATATCACTACATAATCTCACTTCTGAATGTGATGGGGTGATCCGTGCATGAAGGAACCCTTCAGAACAACAATCTGGGGGGTAGGGGGATAATCTAGGCCCTTGTTTTTCTTATCTTTTTAACCAGAAAGATTTCCCAAAAGTCAAAAGGGAATATATATGTTTCACTGTTTAGAGAAGCAGTTTTATACTTTCTAGCATACCCTCCTTCCCAAAATAATAATTTCCTAATTTATATTATGGAAAGGTCCTATAGAACTTAACAGACAATGAAAAACTCTTCCAAAAAATAAATAAATCTGAACTAACCTAGAGAATTCTATAGAAGGGATATTCATTATTAAATTCAATGTGTTGGTTAAAATTCTATTGCAAGTTTCTACTGTTTAGAATAATACTCTCGATCTTCATAATGGGGTTTTCCAGTGAGGAAAAACAGTATTTCTCAGAAGTACACATTTTAAAGCATACTAACTGTAATTCTTTATTCAGTTCTATAGGTTTTAGCGTAATTTATGTAGAGCCCTATTGGTTTAATCAGTGCTGATTACTGAAAGAGTTTTCCAAAATAGTAAAAGTTTTAAGCTAAATATGTTCTATCTGCATGTCTTTCATCTGATTTTCAGCTGTAAGCTAGGGTTGGCTGAACCACTGCTACTCAGTGGCATGGAATAGCCTATTTGTAACATAGCAGCCAAAACTGTGCAACATTCCTTCCACTTCTCTGCCATGCCATTATTAGCCTGATTCTTCAGCCCTCACACGACTGTGGCCACTCACTTGTCTAAGGGTTACAGGGTTGGGCTTCAGATGTTGCACTCTTTACACAGTTTTCATGCTTTTGTGTTTTCTCACATACGGTGTTGATTTTTAAAAATGAGCATTCATATGTTTGCGTTCTCTCTCTCTCTCGCACACACACATCTACCACCCCAAACCTGATTCTTACTGAGAAGCAATTCATATCTTTTGAAAAAGTTCCTCACAACAGTTTTCCTTTACATTGCAATGAAACATGTTGAAGCAGAATTATATCTGACCCAATCTGCCAAACAATTTTTAATTGAAGTAAAATCCTGCAGTGATTGTCCCAAATCCATATTAGTTTGTAGATGTTTGTATTGAATGTGACACACAGGCAGCATCACTCCCACTGCAGGTAAACTCTCATTTGTGTTCCAGAGTAGTGATCTGCCCCCCAGAACTGACCTGCGATGAAGGAGCTTGTAGCAGGGGCAGGGCAGAGGAGCGATATTTGTGCCTAACTTTTTAGCATTGAAAGGTCTTACCTCACATGATATCCTTTCTGGTAGCACCAATACTGATGGTCTTATAGTTTCCAACGTTTCAGAAACTACCTCAGTTTCCAAACTCACATCTGTTTTCACTGATACTCCTCCTTCATCCAACTGCAAGTTAACTTCAGAGTGATCTCGGTAATCTGCAGGATATAATATTGAGTGAAATGTATTGTTATTCATCCCACACAAATAAAACGTGATGGGCTGAAAACAGCTAGACGATGATTATTTACAAAATGCTACTGATGTACATAGCGTTTTGTGAAGAAATAAAAGAAAGTAGATGAAGTCCTGGCCCCACTGAAGTCAATGGATTTCATCCAGTGTCCTTGTCCAAAAGATCCCACAACCCATATTCATCTTGATAATCTTTGCTCACATGAGAAGTCCCACTGAGAGCAAAAGAATTTGGCTTTGTCTACAGTGGGGATTTGCCACCAGTATAGTTGCAACAGAGCAAACCCCAGTCTATGCAGGGTAAACTGAGATAAGCAATGATTTTCACCACTGCAGCCTATCCTTGTTTCAAACAGGGCTAAGCTTTACTGATACAAATGCCACCCACCTGACTCAACAGGTAGGAAACTTTATAGGACCTGCTGGGGCAGACAGCCACGGGGAAAGGGCTGGGGGAGGGAACACAAAAGGTGGGCCCTTTCTCCTCCAGGATTTCTCTGCCTCCCATTGGCCAGCCAGAGGGAGATGGGAGGTGATTGGCCCCTTTCTTCTCCCCACCCCATTATTTTAAACCTTTGCCCAGGTCTTTTGGAGCTTCTCACTCCATTTTAGCTATCCTACCCTCCTCCTCTGTAGTTTTAGGTTACAAGCTGTGTATTTTAGGATTTGTGGGTCTAACCAATTGCCTCTTTCGGGATGTTAGGAAGGAACTTTTCCCATTGGTGCAAAATGGAGAGGGGCCTGCTGGGTTTTTTCCACCTTCCTTACAGCCCCATGGAGACAGTTATGTTAAATGGCAGTAGAACTTAGAAATAAATATTAGTAACTTGTGTGAATGTTTAGTTTGTCATAACTTGTGGCTGGTGTCCAGTGTGGATAAAAAGGCCAAAATGGCCAGTTCCCTGAAGTAAGAGAACTGGGATTTCTCTGGTGGACTTGTGCTTCTGGGAGAAGGGGAGACCTGAAGTCTTTGCAGACTGAGGTCCCTCTTTTGGTACGGTCTGTCCCCATTAGAGTGGGGAGGGTGAGAAGATACACCAGAGTGAGCTGAATCCTAGGGATAGGCTGAGGTTAGTCTACTCTGAGTTATGTTCTTTATGGTGGGAGCCCCGTAACCCTCGCATTTGACCCATTTAAATGTCTGGTACACATGAGTCGGGGGAAATGGGGCAGATGACACTGGAGTTGTGTTCAGCCATTAAATCCACCTCTGTGCCTGTTCTCATTCACCTGTGTGTTCTGACCAATTGCAGCTTTGTCTGGCTACACTAGGGGTTTGCCTCAGGACAGCTACACTAGTGAGCTGCTACCGATGGATCGTCTAACCAGGGCAAATCCCTGGCATAGACAAAGGTCTTTTCCATAAATATGTAGTGGATGTAATGAGCAGCAGAGCTAGTGCTCCTTCGTCTGTCATTCACATCTATCAAGTTGGACTCACAGCATCCTAAACATATACACTATCTGTGCAAGATGATATTCTGACTTTAAAATAAGATACCATCCCATTTAGTTTGCTGTGCAATTTACAGTGATGGGTTTCTTCTTTATTCCACAATCCTAGTACGGCCGGAAGAGCTGTAGCATGAGCCCTTCATCCCATCTCAGAATTTTAATGTGAAAACATAGAAGAATTGGCAATTGCCTCTCCAGGACTGTGTTTTAGAAAAAGCCGTTCTTCACACCTGCTACTTCTCAGCTCTATCATTATTACTCCATTCTACTGGCTAGCTCTGCCATAGTACAAAACGTTAGACAGTCTCACCACCTTATCTCACAGGACAGCAGCACATTCGTAATGATGCAGGATTATCCAATATTCTGCAGCACATTTAATGTAATCTAATGATATTTCAGGCTTCTCATCAGCCAGTCAGGATTCTGTGAGCAGTCAGAGGACCAGAGCATTTTGTATTACTGTAAATTATGGAACCCAGACAACATTGAGTTGCAAACTCGTGATGGGCAGACCTCAACATTTTGGGAATTTGGTTTAGTTCAGATAAGCCCTAAAGGTGTCTGATGGGGTGTCCTCCTCACACTTGCCCAGAAAGGGTTAAGGCAGGCCAGAAAGTCCAGTTAACCTGTGACCGTGATTGCTGGAGAGTGGCCATGCTGAGATTGCTCAATCAGGGCAAACTGCAAAGAATGGGGCAGATGATCCCCAACACTGGTGATCTGTTCTAATAATTAGATTCACCAAGCCAGCAACAAAACAGCTTCTATAATTCCTTACTGGTTACCAAGAAGCCCCAAAATAGTCTCCCTTACTAATCCAGCCTTGGGCTCCCACCCAGACAGCCAAATCAAATATGTTGAGGATTACTAAAACCTTATTCACCATATATAAAGTTCTACCAATCCCAAAGGATCGGACGCATTACCCACCAGGTCAATGAATATTTCAGATTTTACCCAAACAGACACGTACAGCCAATTCTTATTAACTAATCTAAGATTTATTAAAAAGAAAAGAAAGAGAGTACTGTGGATAAAGAACATTCTACATACACATAAGAATAAAGTTCTTGGGTCAGTTTCACATTGTAAAGCCCTACTACTGCTATATAAATGCCAGTGTTGAGAGAAGACAAAATAATTGCTTTCAAAGTAGGAGACATTGAGCCTGTGACAACATTGCAATTATTTTTGTAATTATTATACAGTTTTAGCTCAAATATTGGTCCTCACCATGGGCAAAATCTGCCCCCTCTCTCCTCACACAAATTGTGTAGTGTGACAAACTACTCATCCAGTGACCAGTATATTTGCCCTCTACCAGACTCCTGTACCCCACTGGTCTGGGTCTGTCACAGTAGCCAGACTTGCATGCATAGACTTTCACAGGAAAGGGGATGTCCTCCCCCAGTGCCACTACATTGCTGCTACTGCAACCCTGTGGATGCAGGAGCTTTTGCTACTGCTGTGCCCCTGCTTGATAAGGAGTGATGACCAGTGAATATACATAATTTCAGATCCACAAACCCAGCTCCAGCTCCTCCCCTGACCTACCCTGTTCCCATCTTCCGCAGTCTGTACAGGGTGCAAGACCTCGTCAAGGACTTTCCAAATCAAGCTCCTCAAACTTCTGCACAATGAATTTCATTGCAGAAACAGGTGCAGTATTTCCCCTGTATCATAAATGACCCAGAGAATTCTGACTGACACAGTGAACAGATAGTCATAAAACAGCTTGTGCATATGTTATCATTGTGTAAAACAATACTGTATATTTATTATCAAGTCAGATTATAGCTGACAGATTATATTATTAATATAAACTTTTGTCATACAAGAACTAATCAATATGGAGTTTTAAGGGAGGAAGGAATGTGGCAAGCTGTCTACTCTACAGCCCCTAACATTGCTGACTGGTATTGGAAATATCCCTAACCTAATGAATATCAGAGAGAGATACTGGGAAAGTCTACAGAAAAAAGGTTCAATTACAGAGACAGAGCAGGCTATTATCAGTATATGAAGAAAACTGCAGACCAAAATTTGTCAATCTACACAGTGAATAGAAGGGGTGAGAAAGTAAAATCCCTTGGAAGTAGATCCCTTCCTGTTCATCTCAATACAGTAGAACCTCAGAGTTACGAACACCTCAGGAATGGAGGTTGTTCATAACTCTGAAATGTTCGTAACTCTGAACAAATGTTATGGTTGTTCTTTCAAAAGTTTACAACTGAACACTGATTTAATACAGCTTTGAAATTTTACTATAAAGAAAAAAATGCTGCTTTCCCTTTATTTTTTAGTAGTTTACATTTAACACAGTACTGTACTGTATTTGCCTCTTTTTTTTGTCTCTGCTGCTGCCTGATTGTGTACTTCCAGTTCCAAATGAAGGCTGTGTGGTCAAATGGTCAGTTTGTAATTCTGGTGTTTGTAACTCTGAGGTTCTACTGTATTTTATTCTTGTTATCGTGAGCTGATTGCATAATAATTCTGATTGCATAATAATTCTAACACTTAGTCTACAGTCACCTTCTGATTTAGACATTCTGATACTCATTTCCCATTCAAACAATGGGAAACTTCAGGTGATATTAACTCACCTATTTTTATTTTTTTTTAAACTGAAAAAGCATTTTCATTGACCAAAATAAGCACATTAAAAATACATTGACTTCATAATATAAAGAAGCTAATTGTATAAACATAAGAAAGATCATCCCAGTTTTACTGGGACAATCCCTGCTAGCAGGGCCGGCTCCAGGCACCAGCTGAGCAAGCTGGTGCTTGGGGCGGCAGATTGTTGGAGGCGGCATTCTGCCCAATCCTAGGGCGGCAGGGCCGCCTTTTTTTTTTTTGTTCTTGTTCCGCTCCGGCCACCCTGTAGGGGGCGGCAGCGCGGAGAACCAGAGCGCCCTGCAGGGCAGTCCTCTTCCTTCCCTCCCCGCCGACCGGAGCGGAGCCCTCGCGGCAGGCGGCAGGAGGCGGCGCAGCGGGAGGGGCCGCGTGGCAGCGCCCCTGCTGTAGCCCTGGCTGCCACCTTCTCTCTCTCTCTCCTGCCTGCTCCCTCCCCCCCCCCCCCCGCCCCCCGCCCCCGCGCCTCAGGTTTTTTTGCTTGGGGCGGCCAAAAAGCCAAAGCCGGCCCTGCCTGCTAGTCATTTGATTTCCCAGTGTCCCACAAACTTCTTTCAGGAAGATCTTCTTCCAGGAGATCGTCAATGATCTAATACACAAAAAAGAGTCCTACAAAAAGTGGAAACTAGTTCAAATTACAAAGGATGAATATAAACAAATAACACAAGTATGCAGGGACAAAATTAGAAAAGCCAAGGCACAAAATGAGATCAAACTAGCTAGGGACATAAAAGGTAACAAGAAAACATTCTAAAAATACATTTGAAGCAAGAGGAAGACCAAGGACAGAGTAGGCCCATTACTCAATGAGGGGGGGAGACAATAATAGAAAATGTGGAAATGGCAGAGGTGCTTAATGACTTCTTGTTTT